TCAAACATCAGCTGCTTCGTCTCACGAGAATAGCGAGTCTCAGAATGTTTCGACTTTCCTTTCTTGTTCTTTGTTTTTTTTTTATTTCTTGTTCTTTATTTTTTTTTGCTTCAGACAACTCAAATTTTTTAGGCTGCACTTCATGGATTTAAGGACATTCTTGCGTCATACTTAATTAAACAACACATAACCTAAGCTGTAAATCGTAATAATTCAATAGATTGGCTTTGCTTTTTTATATTGTCGAATCATGCAATTAATTGTAATTAATTGTGTAATTCGATGCGACTTACATGGAAAACACATTGACGCGTTAAATGTCTATTTATAGATAATTGTTATAATGTTACAATGCAGAAATCTATAAATGGACACTTAGGTTTGACTTGACATTTCGCCTTTCTTGCGTTTATGTAGATCATGCATTATAATGTGAGAGAACTACGATTTCGTGATTAAATAATATAAGAAAGTAATATCTTAAAATTATGCGATTGAATAAATTAAATTTTTTAATATATTGTACATATATTGTATATAATTTTTATTATGTATACGTGTGCTTTTATATGCTTTTATACTGCTACAATATATTATATAAAATTATTTTCATTAACTTTGAAGAAATTAGTTTATGAAAAATTTAACAGTAGGAAATGTCTTCCAAAAGAGTTTCTTAAAAAATATTGGAAATATGCTAAATTTTATTCTGTTGCTTTATTTTGTAATATAATAATTTTTTTTATAGGTAAACCTAAACTACCAGAAAACTATCAAGAAGAGACATGGGAAAAATTGCAGGAGGCTGTGGTTGCTATACAAACCAGCAAAAGTATCCGCTATTCTCTGGAAGAACTTTACCAGGCAGTTGAAAATATGTGTAATCATAAAATGGCATCAACACTTTACAAAAATTTAAATGTTCTGACAGAAACTCATGTAAAAGCTAATATTGAACAATTTTTGGCGGAATCTATGGACAGACATATATTTTTGAAGAAAATGAATGAATGCTGGCAATCGCATTGTAGACAAATGATAATGATCAGGAGCATCTTTCTGTATCTTGATAGGACATATGTTTTACAAAACCCAACCATTTCATCGATATGGTAATAAAGCGAAAATATTGTCAGAAATAAATCTCGTAATTAATTATGCATACACTTCATTTGATCTCTTCTTTCAGGGATATGGGATTGAATCTATTCAGATTACACATTGTGCTGAATAATTTAGTGCAAACGCGTACTGTTGAGGGTCTTCTTATGCTCATAGAAAAGGAACGACAAGGTGATACCGTAGATCGAACGCTTCTCAAATCACTGTTGAGAATGTTGTCGGATCTACAAATCTACCAAGATGCCTTCGAAACGAAGTATGTGATAAATCTAATATATATTGTCAGTTGATTCATTGTCATTGACATCAGCATTATTAGCACGTACATTAACATCAATTAGTAATAAACTGATATAATTTAGTTATCTATAATTTAATTATAGATAATGTATTTATTTTTATTTTATAATATTGTTTGCCTATGAATATTTCAATATGTGGATTATTATAATTATTTTATTTAGGTTCTTAATGGCTACAGAAAGATTGTATGCTGCCGAAGGTCTACGATTGATGAACGAACACGATGTTCCTGAATATTTAGCTCATGTGGATAAACGTTTGCAAGAGGAGAATGAACGACTGTTGCATTATCTTGATACGTCGACTAAGTAAGTTTTTTTTATTGCTATTGTGTATAATTATAACATAATAATATATAATTTAATAATTATATCATATATAATTCAGTAATTAAATAGAGCATCATACAATTTCATAAAATTAATTATATTTTCAGATGGTCACTCATACATACTGTAGAAAAACAATTACTGTCTGAACATATTACTAGTATTTTACAGAAAGGCTTAAGTGGGTTGTTGGATGAAAATAGAATTAGCGATTTATCATTACTTTACAACTTATACAGTCGGATAAAAAATGGCCTTGTGGAGCTGTGTTTGAATTTTAATTGTTATATTAAAGTACGTTTTTGTTGCATTAGCAATTGATCTTGAATATGTGTAATGAACAAAATTATAAAATGTCATCTTTTTTAATATCTTTTTAGAAAAAAGGCAAAACGATAGTTATAGATCCAGAAAAAGATAAAACGATGGTACAGGAACTTTTAGATTTTAAAGATAAAATGGATAATATAGTTAATACGTGCTTTCATAAAAATGAAAAATTTGCAAATAGTTTAAAAGAAGCTTTCGAGGCTTTTATTAATCAAAGAGCAAATAAACCAGCAGAATTAATAGGTAATTCATATATGATATATTAATTATATTAACTGTAAATATTGAAAAATAATGTAAATAATTATTTAGGAAATTCTTAGTCATATTGTTAATCTAAAAGTATTCTTAAATTTAAAAATCTTCCAAAACAGATTAAAACAACTATATTCATGGTTTCAGCTAAATTTGTCGATTGTAAGTTACGAGCAGGTAATAAAGAAGCGACGGAAGAGGAATTAGAAAGATTATTAGATAAGATTATGGTACTCTTTCGATTTATTCACGGAAAGGATGTTTTCGAAGCGTTTTATAAGAAGGATTTAGCCAAACGTTTGTTAGTGGGAAAATCGGCTTCTGTAGACGCGGAAAAATCAATGTTATCTAAATTAAAACAAGAATGCGGTGGTGGATTTACTAGTAAATTGGAAGGAATGTTTAAAGACATGGAACTTAGTAAAGATATTAATATTGCATTCAAACAGGTAAGGAAAGTAATTATTCATACATTGTGAGACTTGTATTATACATGCTTACACATGCAAACACGTTAAACTTAATTTGTAATTTGTAAAGTTTATATATTTAGTATTGAATGTATAAAATATTTATGAATATACGTGATCTGACAATAAAATTCTCGAACTGCAGCAGTAAAAACAGGCATTTCAAATAATAGATTACATTTTATCCAAGGTTGGCAAAGACTAACAGTTTCTTTTTTTTTTTTTAAATAAAACAATTTTTTTTAAACATGTTTCTAATGCTTCAAACATGTTTTAAACAGTATTATAAAAAAATATGTTTAAAATATTTTATTAATTCTGATTTTATCTTGTCAAAATAATTTCCCATGACATGAATACATTTCACGCATCTTTGATAGAAAGTCTTAAAACTTTTTTAAAGTCTTAGTTAGAATGCTATTCAGAGCACTCATATTTCTCTTGAATGTTTTCAATATTTTGAAAATGTTTATTTTTCATGATGTTTTTGAACTTTGAAGGCAACATCAAAGATAAACATTTTCAAGAGGACATTCAAAGGAATGTAATGAATGCTCTAAACAGCATTCCAACTACAGACTTTAAAAAAATATTTACTTTGTTTCAAAGATATATAAAATGTATTGATTAAGGCACTTAATTACTTTGAAAGATAAAATATAATACAAATAAGAAAAATATCTTTCAAAGCATCTTAATACTTAGTAATATTCATGTGTAAATATACAAATATAAGTTTCAATTCCATAGATTGTGCGCCGATTCTGTTTTTTGGATTTGAAATACAGTCATGAATTGTAATAATAATTTCACAATTACACTGTTAATTTAATAACACTAATTGCAAATTATATTTATATATTCACATATGAACACTATTAAGCATCAAGACTTACTTTGATCGAAAAAGACATTTTTCTCTCTTATTTGTGTTTAAATGTCTCGGTCTATTTCACTTAATAAAATATAACATTTTGTTTGGCATGTCTGTTTTTTATTGCTTTTTATTGCAGTTCGGAAACTTTATTGTCAGATCATATACATTTGTTGTATAATTATACATTAAGTTTACAGAGTATATTATTTCAAATATTTATTATGGCTTCAGTATGCAGGAAACTTGCAGAGTGAATTAGTGGCAAATAACCTAGACCTAACTGTATCTATACTTACTATGGGATATTGGCCTACATATCCAGTGATGGAAGTCACTCTACCGATGGAGATGGTACAGTATCAAGATGTGTTTAATAAATTTTATTTGGGAAAACATAGCGGTAGAAAATTACAGTGGCAGCCAACCTTAGGACACTGTGTATTAAAAGCATGGTTTAACCAGGTATTGAATAAAGTGATACTTCTTATGTAACATGATATAAAATTATTAACTAATGCACAGATATTTTTGAAATGAAAATAGGGCAATAAAGAGCTACAAGTATCATTGTTTCAAGCATTGGTTTTAATTCTATTCAATGATAGTGATAACCTCTCGTTAGAAGATATTAAAACCGCTACAAATATCGAGGACGGTGAACTGAGAAGAACACTGCAGTCCTTGGCATGCGGGAAGGCTCGTGTTCTTCAAAAGAATCCGCGTGGTCGGGATGTCGCCGATAACGATAGATTCGTCTTTAACGCAGAATTCACAAACAAATTGTTCAGGATTAAGATCAATCAAATTCAAATGAAAGAAACGGTACTTGACATTTAATAATGCAATATATCTTATATCTTTTTATTTTATACATGTGTTTGTATAAAAAGTTTACGTTATTTAACATAAAATTTGATAGGTTTTTTTTATTCTTATAGATATATGAATTTTTTTCAGAATGAAGAACAAAAAGCAACAGAAGAAAGAGTATATCAAGACAGACAATATCAAATAGACGCTGCTATCGTTAGAATTATGAAAATGAGAAAAACTCTGACTCATAATCTTCTCATCAGTGAACTGTATAATCAATTGAAGTTTCCTGTAAAGGTATATATATTATTTTTTTATGTAAGAAAACAAGGTATAAAATATCATTGTTTTGTTCTTGATCTAAAATATTATGCATGCTATTATTAGAAAAATAATATTGATTTATATAACCATACATATGCTTAAATGTGCAATCTAAATAATGTGTAGAATCCTAATTTGTAAATGTATTGAGTGTAATGTATTTGTTTTTTTATGCTAATTCACAGAATATGTATCCTTTTTCAGCCTGCGGATTTGAAAAAACGGATTGAATCTCTTATAGATAGAGACTACATGGAACGAGACAAGGATAACGCAAATCAATACAATTACGTTGCGTAACCTAAAGCAAATGCCAAAGTTATATTGACTTGTAAAATTGATGCTGATTTTTCTAGCAAATTCAATTTATCACAATTGGTGTCTGTCCATCGTGAATGTGAACGAGTTCAAACGAGAGATTATATAACCAATCCGACTGTTCAGATAAAGTTATAAGTGTGTGATCGAAGGAAAAAGACTTGGTTCAGTGAATTTCCCCGTTTTGGTTTTTAGTGTGCAAGAGACATTAAATGGTTACAATCCTTTTTTAACCAGTGTTCCGAATTTTGCAAAATAAGATAAAAGGACATAATGATAGGCAAAAAAAGCTTGATGTAATGTCCTAGAATATAACAATTTTTTATGCAACACAATTTTTCACAGCATAATTACGATTAAGAGAATGTAATAAAGAATGGAAAATGTATACATACTGTGACACTATCATGAAAATAGAAAATAAGAATGCAATCGCAATATAATTAGTTAATTCGAAAACTGAACAACACATAATGCAGTATTTATAACAAAAATAAAAGAGCGTACTATGTCTATATATATGTATATATATATATATATATATATATGTATGTATATATATATATGTATGTATGTATGTATGTGTATATATATTGTACGTTAGGCAAAATATGCAAAACAAGTGTCCAGTTTATCTTGAATCAAATTTCTAATTATACAACGGCGAAACGACAGATTAATATATATAAGATATTAATAAGTATGGAAACTATATGACAAATATATGAATCGCGATTGTTATTAAAAACTGATATATATATATATATATATATATATATCATGCTGAAAAAAAATGTTAGAAATTACATGAGAGTAAATGATCATTCATGATCATGGCTTGTTAAATCATTTCGTGTCCATGTATCTATAAACTAGATTAGTGAATAATATACTTTTATCAAGACGTTTACATACTAACAGGGAATGTTCAACTTATTTTGACGAGTGTACTCACTGAGAGTTTTAACATAAATCTGTGAAACGTTAACACAAATGCAGTTAGGCAATGTAAATGCATACCGAAAGACTATTAGTAATTTTTTTAATTGAGAGAAGATAGTACTGCCAGCAAATCAGCGTTTTGGTACGTCAGTCGCGCTCCTTCTAACGAGAGAAGATTATAGCTTCACGTTGCCATGTACAGATTTAGGAATAACCTCAGGAAGTGAAGGTAGAGTATATAAACTTAATATCTTCTCACATAAATTATTTTATACTGCGTTTCAATTATATGTACAACATTACAAAACTTATTTTTTTGTAATAATTCATAGATTATTGAAACTGTACATAGAGAGTAAGGGGTTCTGTACTTATAATAAAAAATACAATCAAGAAGAAATTAATTAATGAAATTAATTGATTTATAATAATGTTGTCATATTTATTATTTTTGTAACATGCAATTTTTATTTGTAGAATGAAATGTAAAAGGATTTATACAAAATATCTCATGTTTATATATATATATATATATAAAATCTTTCATTTAATTTCATAAATTTATTTAATAATCGATAATCTGATGATTTTTCCATTTTTTTCTAATAAAAAAAATTCTCTCTCAATTTTCGAAAATTAAAATATATAAATAAAGTTATGAAAATTAAAAAATCATAACAATAATTTTGATAAAAAAAAAATCATTTTATATTAGCGTGTGAATCTTAAAATTAAAATATGTTACTCTCTTTTCAGAAATAAAATATATACATTTCAATAATTACTTTTTGTTCTTATAAAAATGTATATTTTACTACAAGAAATTTGTTACAAGATTATTGAAACATCATACATCAATGCTACACATCTGTACAAGAAAAATTTACATCGTTAAATTATTTTATTGTTTGCACATGTAGATTTTTCATATCAACTTCGTTTATTAACGATTTTGCAAATGTATCGGCATTAGCTTCTTTATTTAAGAAATCCGACACTAACAATGACGCCGGTTTACCGCCTCCGTACGCTAAGCATTCTCTTCTATAACGATTGCCAGCTGATCGACTGAAAGGATCGTTGTGAAAGTAGGTTTGCCAAATCCATGCAGCAATTGCACGAGATATTAAATAAGAATAATATTTTGCACCATATCCAACCAAATGAGAAAATCTCAATTGCCATGCCTACGATAAGAGATAAATTGTAGTATCAAAAGTTAATATATCTTAACTAAAAATCGAAACTTTATTTATTATTCGATTTATTGAAAAATTCAATCAATTCACAATTATTTAATTACTTGCTCAAACTTTTAACACATATTTTTTAGATTTATTTATATATTTCATAAAAAAGAATTAAAATAAATCTTTCGGTATTCTTTTTTGAATTTAGAATTATTATTAGGTTTGTATTTTTCATTTGATTTTATAAATTTGTTTAATAATCGGTAATCTGATGATTCTTCATTTTTTTCTAATAAAAAAGATTCTATCTCAATTTTCGAAAATTAAAATATATGAATAAAACATCCTTTAATTACATTTAAGATTTTACATTAAATTTTTATTTCTAGAAGGGGAGAATCTAGTTATTAAAAATTAAAAAATTGCAACAATGATTTGATTTTGATAAGATTTCATAATTAATATATATTATAAAATTAACTTAATCTCAATTTAAGTTCAATTTACTCTATCTTTTTTTAATTGTAAAAATTAGATAAATAGTAAATTAAACTGAGATTAAAATTAATCTTTCATTGATGGAACTAGAGGCTTTAATTATCTATTTTTTTGTAAATGCTTAACATCTGTGTTTCAGAATCAATATCAAAAATACATACCGTATTTTTCACATATGGAAGGCCATAATATTCCTTCTGTACATCTTCTAAAATCTCGGTTGTGGATTTCGTTAGTTTACCACTATGATATACTTGATCCAACATACTATAGAACACTTGATTTTGTAATTCAGAGGCATAAAATATATTCTTTGAGGCGCATAATTTGTACAATAAATTTTCTAGCATTGGTTCTTGAGTTTGAAAATGCTTTGCGAACTTTGATACAACCTGTAATTGCATAAGTGAATTAAAACATTCATTGTACATACTGCATCAAGTACTACACAAATTTATATATAAATAATTTCAGTAATTATAATTCATACCATACTATATTATTGAATATTTACCCTAGGATCACTCGCAAAATATTCCATTAATACACTAGGTACTTCCGCAAAATCTGTGCTGCATCTAGTACCAGTAACATGCTGATATTTCGTTCGACCAAGCATAGAGTGTAATGCGTGTCCCATTTCATGAAACAAATTGTCCACAGATGACGGACTCAATAAACATGGATTCGACCAACGTGGATGCGGCAGTGATAGCATGAGCACAACGATGGGAGTCTGAAATTAACGATATAAGAATATAATTGTTATCATTTCTGTAATTATATGTAAGTATATAAATATAAATGTAAATGAATAGAAAAGAAATAAAAGGAAAATTTGATAACATTGATGACAAAATATATATATAATAATTTATACCTGATAAGAGCCATCGGAAAGTTGTTTTCCACCTTGGATCGTAAAGTGACAGTCTTGATTAGGTTTTCCTGCTCTTTCATAGAAATCGCAATAGATATAACCCAAAATTCCTTCCTCTTCATCTATTACAGCTAATTTATGAACATTATTCGCCCATACTTCTCCGGATAATACTGGAACGGATTCGAGCTTAACTCTGTATAAAGACTGTGTGAGGAAATTTAAACCCTCCATACAGGCACCAAGAGAAAAATATGGAGCAAACTCAGCAGTAGAAGTATTTAACCAAGCTTTTTTCGCCTTTGCCATAAAATAAGGTGTATCCCATGGCATCAATTCCTGTTTAAAATATAGAAAAAAAATTTTACAATTTTGTAAAACAGAAAATAGGAATTAATATCATGAATGCCATTTGATATAATTACATTGATTGATGAATAACGTAATCATAAATAACATTATAAATACTAGTAAAACTACAGATAGAGACAAACTTGTTTTATACGCGACTCAGCATTTTTCATTTTCTGCATCTCTTGAAAATCTTGTATCGCTTTAGGTTGTAAATTATCGCTTAATATATTAAGAAATTCCTTCACTACAACTGGAGATTTAACCGTACTCCCTTTTACAGCTCTATAAGAAATTTTTTAATTACTCATTCGTTTTCGTTCAAAAAACTGTACTTTCAAATTACCTGTGTGCATACGATGTAAATCCACAAGATTCCGCCAGCAGATGCCTAGAGTGCAAGAGTTCGTGTAACAAATGTTCTTGTTCCTTATCCGGAAATAAAAATAATTTGTATGCCGCTTCGCGAACAGCAGTATTAGAAGAATCTGTGTAAAATCCTTGCACTAATATCTGACCATTCTCCGTAACAAAACTGTGAAACGTATCAACGAGATACCATTCTAAAGTTTATACCTTTGAAAAGTTTTAAACAAAACGATAGAATTTAGTCGAATGATAAAATAATAATCGATTAAATTACTACACCTACTACTGTCTGATAACATCAGGTATTACATCGGCGTTAACTGTCCTCGGAGTAACAGCGCCAGCCATAAACTTTTGTCCTACCTAAAAAAATCAAAAGAAAAAGCATATTTATAGATTTGACGATTAGAAATATTATTAAATAATATTTACTTGCAAGATATAATCATTTAGCTTTACTACTCTTCTTCTTTGTTTTTCAGGCAAGTGTATACCACATTGTTCAAAATCAAAAAGGAATAATTTAGCTACATGATTGTCTATATCAGATGTCATTTGAGTATCACCATTACTTGTTACTTGCTTTAGTGAATCATACAACTCACGATGTGTATTTAACCTGTAAAATATCCAATTTATAAACATAATTATGTTACTCTACTAATCCTATTATCAATAATGTCTATTAAAATAATTTATTATTATCTTTAATAGCTTTTACATACTTTAAATATTTTTTTAAAAAAGCTTAAATCCATAAATATTTATAAATAAAATTATAGACTTTGAGGAAAATTCTTAAATCATAATACAATTGTATAATAAAAAATACAATAATAAATGTATAAATGTGAACTGCCATAAAGCAATTAAGTACAACATAATTTCAAAAGTGAACTCACTTTTCAACAACGCCACTAATAGTTATACAAGCATCTTCAGCAGCTCGAACATATCGTTGATCAGGATGTGCGACTCTAATAAATTCTGCCATATCCGCAACTTTACATAGCGTATTGGATAATTCATCAAATATTTCTACCATTTTTCTCTTTCTATCTTTGCTCGTTGCTTCCTCAATGAGAACGTTGACTTCTGCCAGTGCATGATTTTTTAATGTATCGAAGCCATCCTCAGTTTTTAGCTCCGGAATGCCAAACAATCCCTTGGGGATATTTTTAAATGATAAATATAATTTGATAAACAATATAAAATTAGGTGCATTTATCTCTATTGTGCTTATGTGGATTGGCATTATTTCAATTTAAATATCAATTGTCAATTAAAGTCACATCAATTTAATACTTATTTTGAACTTAAAGTCTCTCATTTTAATAATTAAATGATTAGATAAACTCCTTGAGATCTTACCGTTTCTTTCTTTAATAAATTTATTGAGTGATTCTCATTAGTGGAATTAAACGTCGTGGCGAGGGGTGACCATGTGTTCAATCTCCTATCACCTCGTACATTTCGGAAAATTTGCCTCTGAAATGTTCGCAGCATCCTTCGAAAATGTAAGAAATTATATCCGGAGAAACGGATCGTTTGAGTGACACAATCCGTGTAATTAATGTAAGTCCTTTGCAGTAATTAATGCAAATCCTTTGCGATCAATGAATAAACGGTTACCGCGCGTGATGTCACCGACGAGATACTATTAAAGACTCGCTAATCTTATAAAAATTTGCATCATTGTGAAAAATGTAAGTTATTAAGAATAAGAAACTGATAGTATAGTAATTTTATGATTTATGTATTCCAAGGTTTCATAGACATGTACATATATTTAAAACTCAATAATATTAGATTTTTATTTAAAACTGCAATTTTTTTGTTATCGTCCGAGTTTGATTATCAATATAAAAATGAGAACTGTCGAGAAACAAATTAATTTTGCTACAATATACATAATATTATAGCATTATAAGTGTGCATATTTATTTATATAATAAAAAAACACGATTTTAATAGTGTATTATTTAAATGTTTATGTTAATAATCGAAAATTTATACAATATTAATTATTATCGATAATATCAATGCTCTCTTTAATTACCTCCGGACCCTTAAGCTCTCAGTTGTGAATGACAAGGATAAAATGATATTCAAAGGGATTCGGATAGTGATTTTGAGAGAACGAGATCTTTATTAACAAAAATTTACCTAAGATTAATGGTTTTTAATAGTATCTCATCGAAGATTACACCAGAGAAGACTTCTCTCTGGTTATACCGATCGGGATGATTTGAGGCTCCTCTCAGGTTTTCCTCTGGTTAAACTTTCCAATCTTGTAGAATTTATAGTCATTGGTTAATTTGAGGTTAGGTTACTATCAATAATAACAAACTCCGTGTGAATATTACACATTTAATAGTGTTTGATGGAATTGTGATTAAGCAATGTTAAAAATGAATAACCAATTAAAAAGATATCTCTTTTGGTTTGCTCACGAACACATTGACTTCCGATTAGCTGTGAGTAGTTTTTTTTATCATGAAATTTAATCATGTATTATAGAATGATTTCTTAAAATGATAACTCAAGTGATCTACTATATTCGACAATGTATCAAATTTTTTAAAATCTATATTTTATATATTTAATAGAAATACATTTTTCTAATATTGTTTTCAAAGAATTTATGTATGCAGTACAACAATAAGATTTTTGTTTTAATCAAATTTACGTAGGAAAAGAAATGCAATGTTATTTTTATATCTTTATTTTTATATTCATTGTTTGCAGAAATATTATATATTTGTATTTTATATTTAAAGAAAAATTATTTCTGAGCTTTTGTAATAAATTTGTTTCAAGATGCTTCCATAAATGTGTTTTATATAATGTATTTTATATATCCAAAGTTGAGTGTCGTTTTCATATTATCCCAGCTGTATTTTCTAGGAAATAGAATCTATATTTGACATGTTTAATGTTAAACCATGCACAATAACAAGGCTGAAGGAACATGTAAGGAAGTATGAAAATTATTAAATATATATGATAATATATATATTTTTATAATAATAAGATTTGGTATTTAAACAGTGTCCCGTAATTTATCTAATAATGCTCGTAGGCAGGTAGAGCAGATTAAACTGAGTCAAAAGTCCTCTATTATTTTGCAATTTTCGCAATAGTTAACAAGATTAATTATTAAAAATTACCAAATATTGATTTTCAACAATTTTTTTCTCAAATATTATCAACTTTACAGAAAAATAGCAACAGACAAAAATCATTTATTTTCTTTTCATAAAACTTTAAGAATTTTTTTATCAATTTTTAATACTGCATTTTCTTATTTTCATCAATATGAGAAAATTAAAAAATTCTGAAAAAATTCTGAAAAAATTCTTAGAATTTTATGAGAAAAAAATAAATAATTTTTGTCTCTTGCTGTTTTTCTGTAAAGTTGACAGTATTTGAGTAAAAAATTATTGAAAACAAATATTCAGTGATATTTAGTAAATAATATCTTGTTAACCAACTTGCTAAAATCGTAGAGGATTTTTTTAGTCAGTTTAGTCCGTTCTATTTGCCGATGAGCGTTGTTGGATGAATTATGGGACATCCTGTGTGTATATACGCGCGCGCGCGCGCGCGCGCGTGTGTGTGTGTGTGTGTGTGTGTGTGTATGTGTAAAATGGAACATATCCATTGGTACAATTTTAAAAACAATTTCTTTGCAAGAAATATTTTTTAATGCAATTTATATTGTAACAACAATAGTTGTAAAACAATTTTGCAAATGAGAAATATTTGATGATTTATATGAAAATGCTATTATTATTAAAAAAAACGTCAAACTATATTTTGAACTTGCATATAATTTAATATGCAATTTTTAAGGAAAGATATGAAAATTTTAATGATAATAATAAAACAAAATGTTATTTATATATATATTGAAACAAATACTGTTCAGTATAGTATAAATAGAGAAATAAATTTGTCAAATTTTTTTAGCCTTACTGGATAGTGGATTTATCTGATGAAAATTTAGTACATCAAATTGCAAGTAGGGCAGTCTCATTGCGTTTTTGTTTAGAGCTTTGGGGACAAGCTAAAGAAAACGAAGAGTTACATAATTCTTTGAAAGCTTACTCAATCAAAAATTTGGAGACTTTGGCTGTAGATAAAAAAAAATCATTTAAGATTATAGTGGAGACTTTCTGTAAACATTTCTCGCAACGTGAGAAAATAAATAAAATCGAAGTAAGCAGATATTTCTCGATTACTATAACAAGAATTTTAAAACATTTGAATAAACTATATAAAGCTTAAATAAAGTATAACTGCTAAAAATAAAATAATTATTTAATAGTCCATTTGAAAATTAACATAATATAATTAAGTTAATGCAATGTTGGGAGAAGTCTTTCAGTTATCTACCTCTTGAAGGTCCGGTTAAATTGAAAAATCCGGATATCACTTTATGCTATATAGAATATTATGGACTTAATCCCAACGACATTCCTGAAGAACCCCATGAATATTTCTTTGGAAAATGGGTGAGTAATATAATTATACATTAATTATTATTTATAGGCTATAACATCATTTTATTATAGATTGCCGATGGTCAGCGAGAGTTAATTCAAAAGTTATCATTAAAAACTAGGAAATTTATAGGAAATACCTCAATGGATCCCCAGCTGTCACTGATAATGGCAAATCAGGCACAAATTAGAAATGGAGACTTAGTTTTTGATCCATTTGTGGGGACAGGCTCCTTATTAATTGCTGCATCTCAATTTGGAGGATATACATTTGGAACAGATATCGATTTTTTAATGCTTCACGGCCGTACAAGACCTACACGGATATCGCAAAAGGTATCGTGTTAACAAGAGTTCAATTATTATTTCTCTATCAGGCATAATATCAGTTTAATATACAAAGTAGCAGAAAAAAAAGTTGAGGAATTTTCGTATTGAATGTGTCAGACAAGGGAAAAAGGTGAGAGTATCGCAGCAAATATGCATCAATATGGAATGAGTTCTTATTATCTCGATGTTGTGGTGGCAGATTTTTCGTATCCATTGTGGCGGACAGACTTACGAATAGATGCTATTATAACAGATCGTGAGTATAAATATTGCATAAAATCTTCAAACATAAATATATTATAGAAATCCTTTAAAATTTACAAATAAAATAAATTACATTTTATATGAATTTAATAAAAAAACAAAAAAAATTCTTTTGTAGCACCGTACGGTATAAGGGAAGCTACAGAACGTATAGGCACTATGAAGATAAACCCGGTAATAGAAGAACATCAAGCAACCTCTCACATTCCTTCAAAAATTGTTTATGGCTTGAATCAAATATATAAAGACCTATTGTGTTTCTCTGCGAAACACCTAAGACTTCAAGGCAGACTGGTCTGTTGGTATCCATTGTTTAGGTATATATAAATATATATATATATATTTATTTATTTAATATTTATATATGCAAAGAAATGTTCCAGCATTAAAAATTATGAAGCAATTACTATAATAATTATTTACTGATTAGTAGATAAATTAAATTTGTGGTTTAGAGATCAGTATATGGAAGATCAATTACCAGCACATTCTTGCTTAGAGCTGATAGCCAATTCTGAACAAATATTGAGCAACTACACTAGTAGAAGATTGTTAACATACAAGAAAGTTAAAGAACCTGAGGTAATAAGATTTAACAAAATTTTATTAACTTTTATTTAGTTTTATATCACATTTAGAAAATACAACGGAACAGAATCAACTGAATTCTTGCGATTTTAATAAACTTTAGATATGTTAAAATATAGAATACATAATTAAGAGATACATTTTTTTTTTTATGTGCTGAGTCGTATGTTAAGGAAAATCTTTCTTGAAAAAAATTTTTTTTTTCTTTCAAAGCGAATATCGTCGAAACTATGAAATAGAAACAAATATTTCAAATAAAAGTTGAATAGCGTCAAAAGTACTTTATAATCATAAAAAAATGAAAGAATTTTTTTAAATTATAATTATAAAATACTCTTGAAACTATATATATAACTTTTATTTAAATCATTTTTTTAAATCTCAGTTTTGACGATAGTCACTCTGAAGAAAAGATTTTTTTCAAAAGAGATTTTCACCTTAACGTAATTCAGTGTATAAAAAAAAGTATTTCTATATTGTAATATCCAGAGCTTTTTAAAATCAAGGAAGACCAATTGATTGTGTTCCTTGTTAGATAAGATTTAAGGTATGTTTTCTGTGGCTGAATTAGTACACTTTTGAAACTTAAAATGAGATAGGTATATATTTGATATTTGGCGGAGAGATTTTCTAGTGCAGTCTTTGTAAGAACAAAAAACAGATTTTGTAATAAACTAGGATGTAAGATTTTTTTAATACAAAATAAGAACAATTTCTTCTTTTTAAAATTAAAATAGCCATATTCTCGTTTTCTAATAGCTTGGATTTTGATATGATTAAACTGTATATCAATATTTTTTATCATTTAATGACAGGCAACTGACGAGAGCATTATAATGAATTTTACTGATTTCCGTGAGAAGTATTTTGCATTACGTGAGGAAACGAGGAAGGAAAAACGAATGAGGAAAGCTGCAGAAAGAGCAAAGAGACGAGAGGAGTGGGAATGTAGTAACAAAGAAGTTACTGAAAGATGACTGTAAATCAGTCTTATGTAGTATTATATAAAAGTACATTCTCTACATTTCTTCAATTTTATGTATCTTTTCTCAGTGCGAGAAGATATATAATTATTCAAAATTATTTATCAAAATGTGACTATCTAATTTTGCAATTCTTGATTATTATGTACAGAATAGTTGTAAAAATTGAAAACAAAACTAAGTATTGCAATGATTTAGAAATAAATATTTTTTGCACACATAATCCTATCCATTCAATGCCGTTTTTTATTATATTAATATGTAAGATATACCGATACCTAAATAACAATGAAATAACGATGACATTAAACGAATTACAAAGAGTGATCGCTAAATCGATAATTTTAACATTTACTTAATAACATATATATAATAAGGTACGGAAATACGAATGTATATTCAGAAGATAATTACGTATGGTGCACTTAAAATTCGACAATGGTATTAATAGAGTAATTAATTAATATATCAACATACAATTGTACATGGATATTGGCAAAATTACCTGGAACAAGACAAAATTACCTAGAGTGTGATGTACATATATTACGTAACGAATAGAATTACAAAATATTGTTCGAATGTCCTGATCAGATTTTGTTAACTACACAGAGTTAAAAAATGTGTCTAAAATCTCTCTTCAGTAAATTCTTCGGAAATCGTTATTGCAATGTCTTTAAACACATATCGCTTACATGTTTCTCACAAAATTAAAATAAATACAAGAATAATTATAATGTAATACCTAAGCTTCAAGTTGTAATTGTCCTAGTAAACGTTCTACGTTTTTAACGTCCTCATTTGTAACTTTACTTTCATATTGTTTCTCAATTTGTCTACTAGCCCATTCACTCAGTTTCATCGCTTCCTTCTTTTTAGATGAAGGACATTTAGGCGATGTTGCAATATTATTTGTTGTCTGAAATTAAATATTTGCAAAAATATAGATACCCTTCATAATTGCTATATAGCATTATTATTATAATATAATAATGGAACTTACTAATAACAAGCCATATAAAGCTCTAATATTATTTGGATTTAATTTCGCAGCTTGGCAGAAGTATGCTTTTGCTAGTTCCATGTTATCAAATCCACCCTATATAATAAAGCATTACTTATATAATTTTCTTTTTACATTAATTTTATATTAACAAATATCTAAAAATATTTATATTATTAATTTAGTGAACTTTTGTTAATCTAACAAGGGGAATATCAGACGTAGGTCCTTCTGATTAGACTAAATTTGATATACCTATATAATAGTTTAGCTCTCCAATTAATTCTTGCTAAAATTATAGAGTACGCTTCTTAAGTATTTACGAGAAAAACGCATTTAAAAATTTTCTTGTTGTGATAATATAAATTTTTTAATGTTGTTTTCGTGAATGCTTGAGAAGCGTTTCTATATATTTTTATTTTGTAATTTTAACACGAATTAGTGAGAGGTCTGAATTATTACATATATAAAATTTAGTCAAATTGTTGAAAATTAATTTGATGTTGGAGGAATATCAGCTATGGTTTCCTCTGATTTAGCTAAATTTTATAAAAAGAGAAAAATGCATAAAAAAAATATTACATTACCAATACATAAATTTTTAAATACGTTTCCCTCAGGAATGCTGAGAAGTGCGTATTATAATATAATTTTAGCATGAATTAGTAGGAAGGCTGAATTATTATATATAGATAGCAAAATTGAGACATATTCTGGTATTCTCCTTGTAAGGAAATTGATATGACTATCATCATAAAAAAATATCATAAAATAGATGCACATACCTGAGAATATTTTATTTCTGCATATCTTTGGTAAATTAAATGACTGTGTGGATTATGCAATATAAGTTCTTCCATACAATAAGCTGCTTTGGAATATTCCTGTTCTTGTAAATATAAATCACATAACTCGTGCCATGCTTCTTGATCGCTCATAAATCTAAACAATGATTTAGATTTAGTATATATAATATCACTAATACACACATAATTTATAAAACTTTTTTATAAAGCTTTTAAAATGTATGCATTTATAAATGTATATTAAAATAACCTTTTCAGATATTCTGTAAGCTCTTTAATTGCTTCTGGAATGCGTCCTCGAGCTTTCAAAATAGCAACACGACGTTTTCTTGGTGCAGCATTGGTTTCATCTCTTTTTATGATAGAATCCAAAACTTCCATTGCCTCATCATACCTAGAAAAAATCAATTAATAGAGTATTAAGATAAATATTATTACATATTTTTACATACTTGACATATATAATTACATTTCTAATGCTTCTAAATGCATAGCATGGTACTTGTGAACACGCAAGCTGCCAGGAAAGGCGCGCATTAAAATTTTGATGCAGTATTCAGCTAATGGTAGTCGGTAACAATCCAAGGCGGCTACACATACTTGTTCCAGAATCAGATATTCTGAATAATGGAAAATAAAATATATATTCATGACATACATATAATTTTTGATAATTTTAAGAATAAGAAAATATGTATTGATAAAATACTTTCATTGCCCAAACGATCAATCTTTCCCATCAAAGTATTTTCCCAGAAGTCTACTACATCTTTACTTCGTCGCTCAGAATCTTCCCTCCAAGTTCTCAGTAAGTCCCTTACTTCTGTACAACAAAAACATGCACAAAGTTATCATTAGAAGCACATAAAAATTCTAATGGTAAAATATTACTGATTTTAATAAAATAATTTATATAATAATTTACAGAATAATATTCTTAAAAAATTATTAATTTAGCATTTTTTTAATATTTTAATGTCCAACATAAATTCATAAATAATAGAGTATATATAATTAAAATATCAAACCAAATAAAATATATATGCAATAATATGTCAAAATGTGAATTAGAAATATGTCAACAGTATCAAATTTTTATTAACAATGACTCAGCAAACTTTTTACAAAAGTTTCTCGATATTAAGATTAAATTATTTGATAACATAGAATATTTATTTTTAAAAAATTATACTTAAATATATTATGATACTTTTTAAAGAATATGTTCAAAGAATTAATATTTATTTTACAATTACACATGATGAAATAACATTAATTGTCACATGACAGAAAGACTCACCTGTCCAGGACAGCTTGTCGTAACATCCTGCCATCGCTTTGTAAAACAAAGAAAATCTGTTTAGGCGAATAAATAAAGAGCACAATAAAAATTTTTGTCACGCACTGCTCTGGACTACTTTGGAGGTTATGCAATGTGGCATGTAGCGCCCATGATACACAGTGTAAACATTATCGGATTAAACACATTCGTAAAAACAAAGAAAAATAAAATCCTTTCCACTTTCTTGTAACAAAAAAAGGGCACAATGTTCAACGTAATGCCGCACTATCGCACTAAGCAATAGCGTCACAATTTCTTTACACTTGATAGCGTAGAAGATAATTTATGCTAAATAATGATAAATAATGATCATGAAGGGGAGCGTGAGAAAGAAGGGATGACAGCTTATCCACTTCCGTTACACATACATAAGAATTTGAGGAGGACTGCTAGTTGGCGATTACAAGTTCATGAAATTATTAAGACCCCGCGCACAATAAAGAAAATATTAGGAATAGAAATATATATTAAAATTTTAACCTATCAGAAATTGGTTACATCGGAATACACAATTTTTGATAGGTTAGAACCTTAATATTTATTTCTAATATTGTATTTCTTCTATCATGTGCAGGGCCTAATGTTTATGTATCACACTAGTAATTGAAGATGGCGTCTACGTCGTCTGCGATATCTGCATCCGTATTTGCGTTTCTTGACCAATCAGAAAAGAATTGAGGATCAATTCTGTACTTGAAACGAGGTCCTGTTAATAGTACTGGTTAATAGCTTCTTTTTGATTAATTAAAGCTGTGATCAAAGAGTGCATTTCGTTTCACGCATGACCTCTACTAATAGATTTTTAAGCCTGAAACCATAAGGAATGAGCAAATCAATTATTTTCCTCACATTCAACTGGGGTCGATTCTGTATCTTCAAACAAGGTGAAAATGACAAAAGCGAGCAATTTATTAGATGTTGACCAATGAAATAATCAATATTCTAGTAAATTTGCTCATTTTTATAATTTTCACCTCATTTCAAGATATACAGGGGATCAATTCTGTATCTTGAAATAAGATGAAAATTATAAGTGAAGTAGAATACTGATTATTTCATTGATCAACAACTAATAAATTTGTTCGCTTTTGTAATTTTCATCTTGTTTGAAGATACAGAGTCGACCCCCAGAATCGATCCCATGTAGTTAATCAATTTCTTACGGCTTAAAGCTTAAGTCCGGATCTATAATAAATTTTTAAGTCTTAAGCCATAAGGAATGGACGAATCACAATCAATTATTCTCCTCACATTCGATTGTAATTGGTCAATTTCTTACGGCTTAAAGCTTAAAATATCTATTGTAGATCTGGACTAAGGCCCGATTGCACCAACGTTACTTTGATTTTTAGCAAAGCTTAAAACTGTCTCTATCTCTTCTTCTTTTTCGTCTTTAAAAAGTGAAACTGAGATTTTTAAGCCTTGTTTAAAATTAAAGTACGTTGGTGCAATCGGGCCTAAAACACCTAGGATTAGTTTCACCAACGCTGATCAAGCTTAATCATGAACTAAAAGAATACATTAATAACAGCGAGTTCCTGTTGAGTCCGCTGAATGCGCTCAATGATAGCTCAGCTTTTTCTCACGTTATGATGCAAAGCAGAGCTCTCATTGGATATCACTCGTCGCTCATCGTTCATCGCGTCCAATAGATATAATGCAAATTTTTGTGACTATTAATAAAGATCGGGAAGTTCGATAATAATTAACGAAGACATTATCAACAATTAATAAAAATTTTTCATCATTAACATAAATATTTGGATAATACATTATTGAATTCATGATTTCTTATTATATAAATAAACAAGTACGCATAAATAAGTATTTTTAATGCTATAATATATTGCTGAGAAAAATTATAATTTTTTCTTTACAGTTTATTATCTCTATAATAATCAAACTCGGATAATAACATTAAAATCACACTTTTAAATAAAAATCGGGTTTTATTAAATTTAAAAGGTGTATGTCTATAAAATTAATAAATCATAAAATTAGTATTATATTATTAAATTTTAGCAATCACGCAATTTTTCGTAAGACGGACCGTCTTTAATAGTATCTCGTCGCCGATACTGACCATTGTTACCTTAATGTTTTGAAATTTACCGCTATTACAATATTTTGTCTAAAAATGGCAATTTCCGAGTACTGGCGACAGTCGCGACACGTTT